TGGCAGACCGTCGGAATGGCGATATCTTGGCGTGGCAGCCTGTAACTGTTGGTTAAATGGCCCGTTTGGTTGGTATTCAGATAACTGGGGCTTTACTGGTATAATGCCATAGCACCACCCAGCGGTGAAACCCGTGTACACGTGTACATGAAAAAAATGACCCACTCTAAACGTTTAGAGATTTTTGTACATGAACTCACCCCTACATTATACAGTATTTTTGCACTAAAAACATACTGGACAGGAACTGTGTGCAGGTGAAATAAATGCCCGGGCTACTATTTGAAAAAATATGTTACATGATTAGGCCGATTGCTTTATTTATTTATTCATTTTCGAAACTCACAAATGAGTTGCTCTCTGCATGTCAGGGCCAACCTCCTCCTCCACACACACACACACACACACACACACACACAAACTCAACAGAGTGCAGTCAGACAACAGCAGAGAGACCGCGGTGCAGATGAAGGGAATATAACTTCAAGATTACTCTAGTTGACGACAACTACGCTTGTTACTGTAAGTAAGTATGATAAAACCTCTGCCAGCCAAGCCAATACTTTATCAATACATGTGATCAGCATGTAGAAAGCCATATTTCAATCTGCTCTGTCCGCAGTCTCTCATTCACCGCTATTATGATTAACGATCGCGGTCAACACAAGCACATCGCACTTGCGGTGCTAACAGCAAAGTGTTAAAGACAAACTAAAATGAAAGCTGTCTGTACGTAGGCTAACACTTTATCTGAAGATGTACCTGAGGCAGCCGACCTGCAGACAGTGAGTCTCCTCAGTAGAGGGTAACAGCAGTAACAGCGCCAGGTCACCATCAGTCAGGCATCCCTCCTCCTCTTTCAGCTCTCGCCAGCTTGTGAAAGCCAGGCCAATATTAATCCTTGTTCGAGCTCTTGTTTTATTGCTCTCCTGTTTTCTTTTCTTTGTCTCCTCGGACAACACCTTCACCTTCTTCCTTTTCTTTGTCACTTCAGCCATGACAACCATGTCTAACTTCATTCACCTTGGTTCGGCTACTCTATTCTAAAGAGAGGAAGTAGATATGACATATGCCGTAAAGCAGCCAAATTTTGTAGTAATGTTTTGTGTCCGGGTTCCTACCTGAACCCTGAAACTGCATAGTGCCAGTGCAAGCGAAACAGACGCTCTCAAGCAATGACGAAGGTGTCATCCAACCTATTGTGAGTTGATGTATCATCACAAGGATCTTGGATATATATTTTGAGGGCTCAAAAACTCCACTGTGTTGCTTTAAGGTTAATTAAACAATACTTCATACATCAGTTCTTGAAATCTTTTTGGGTGCCAGGTTGTGAAAAAACAATTTTATTTTGATCTTTAAGTGAAAACGAGCGATAATTAGCAAAAAATAAAACAAGTAATCTCAAACAGAGATTCTCAAACAGCCAAAAAATGATTAATAATAAAGACAGTGTTGACGCATTAGCTACTTGCGATGCAAATGAAGTTTTTACATAATGCATTATTCCTTTTTTTTTAATTATGTTAATCGCATCCTGTTATTATGTCCCTTTGACACACGCTCACCTATAGTTGAGCCGCCGCAGCAAGTTCCTTCTGATGCAGTGATGGAAAATAAGACACCACCGTGCTTTTGAATGGCTCCTTTCACTTTAAAAAACTCCTAGATGGCTCAGTTAACAAGTCAAAAGTAAAATGGACCTTGTGTCAAAAATAATTAAAATATCACCAGAGTACTTTGAGTTTAAGCTACCACCTACGAGCTGAGCACACAGGTGCAGCTAATCAGACTGATGTCAGTGGGCAACCCCATTACCCAAGCTGGGAAAGCACTATTTTGAAGTGTGTGAATCACCACAGACCTGTGGATTAAACAAATCAAGGAAGTTAACTACAGTGCTTGCGAAATGGATGGGACTGACTGCAGACCAGCATTTAAAGTCCTGTGTGCGATTTGTCCGAGCTTCATGTGAGTAGCCGCCGGGCTGTGCTATGCAATGTAAATGTCATAGCATTATGCTAAGAATGTTAACAAGTTGTATTTCTATGGAAAACGTGTCTCGTGTAAGACAATTAATTTGTCATTGAACCTTGTGAATTGTAATGGAGACAAATTTTGTAATGTTACCTTTGTTAAATGTTGCTGTTGTTTTCAACTTCATATGAGTAGAGGAGAACTCCGCTAGCTGCTAGGTTAATTTATGCGACGTAAAATGCCATAGGCTTGTGCTAATAATATTAGCATGTTGTATTAGTCGGGAAAATATATCCAGCAACAGACAAGTGCTTTGTCTGTGAATCTTGTGAGTTATAATGAAGTTGATTAGTATACTTGTGTTTGAAATTGTGGCTATTAAACCATGTTTAATGTGTGTTACAAGTGTGTTTTGAATTTGTCAAACTTTACAGCACTTCACAGAAACCCCAACTAGTGTTTTGGAGGTGTAACTGCAGAGCCACACAGACAACACCACTGCACAAGTACATTACGTATTAATGGGACGTCCTCAGATTGGCATTTTGTGACTCAACACATCTCACTCCAACCTGGTCATGTGTGGTTGTGGACATTCCACACTGACATATGACATGTAAGGTACCATAGGTGCATCTGTTTTTGACATTCTGGGATGCAGTGTCAACTTCAACCTGTTACATGCATTGTATGCTTTCAAAATACACTTTTTGTAAACAGGAAATGTACAGTTTGCATACAGTCTCTTTCAAAGTGAATGTACTACGACGGTACAACACCCCAAATTGCCATTTTTGTCCTTCAACAACAAACGCACATGGTTTCATTTAGGCAACAAAAGCGTGTGGTTTGGTGTACAAAAAAATAACAGGTTTTTATTTTTGCATTCAAACATGCAAGCAGGGGTGATTACTCTGAGACAACAAGGGAGGCTGAACTTTCCCTAAAATTTCATAGAAGTGGTCAAATATGCACTATTGATTTTTCATTAAAATAAGAATTTACATTGCATTAAACATGCGCTACAATGCATTTGATGTTCAAACGTCAGCTGTTTATCACCAGTTTTCAAACGCAACCTCCCTGTCATACATTCTCGTGTCAGCTTTGTGTACGCAGACCCTCCAAGCATTCCTATGACACAGCGCTGAGCAGGTTTTTTTCATGCAGCAAAACGAGACGGTCATTGGATAAATGTGGCAAAATCGTCACTTCCAGGGAGGCTCAGGTTCTCTGGGACCTAATGGAGCGGTAGGTGGTAAAGGACACTCGGTGTATGCATGGTGATTGGAGGAATTGTCTAAAAGGCTGGACCCCTTTATGATTGACAGTGCTTCGCATTTTGAGCTCAGTCCGGTCCGGATATTTGCGAGTGGAGTCTTCTGACAGAGTGCCGTCCGGAGTTCCTTATTTCCATAAGCCATATAGCTCATTTTCACTGTTTGTACAGTACACACACAACACACACTGTAAATAAAGACATAAACATTGCATTATTGAATGTGTAATGTGTGTTTCAATAATATTTGAGATTGTTTAGAGAATGTTGCTTTATAGCACTGTTTGTTACCTGGGCCAGTGTTAAGGTGCTGCTCCTTTCAGGGAAACTTATTTTGAGAGAAAATCAGTTCTGGTGGTGTAGACACAGTTCAGGTGTTTAAACCCATCTGAAAATCTTTGAGGTGTGTTTTGCTGTGGTTCTATGGCATGAGTGTGGTTGAAAAACGGCTTCAATTAAATGTTCCTTTTATAAGTTATTGTCTCGCTACAGTATGACAAATTTTATGATGTAAACTTAAAGCAAGCTTCCTCTGTTTGAAAGACCAGCAGCTGCCACTGATCTTTATCTATCTACCTATCTATCTATCTATCTATCTATATATATATATATATATATATATTGCCATCCATCTATTCTTAGCAGGAAAATGTCTCAGTCTACTGCCCCCCCTCTCACCTTGACAGTACATACAGCAGCCTCTCTCCATATTGCTCTGCATGCACACACATTGTCCATTAGTGTAGCCATAGTCACAACAGCTTCAATATTCTACAAAAGTAAGCAGTGATACATCAAGCAGAGTTAAAACATTAAAATATGACAGTATTTAAGAACCACAGTACAAGAGAAGACACTTATGATTTATCCCAGGTGGGCGTGGCCATTGTAGGGAAAACTGGCCCCTCATCACTAGCCAAGTCAAATCCTCAGGTAGGTAGTTAAGCAGAGGAGCCCACATTTCATTGAAAGACCTCTCATTGCCACCACTGATCTTAAGTAACCAGGTCATGACCTCTGGAAAGAGACATTGCTGCTGTTTTTCAAATGTTTTTTGGCACTTTGAGCACCAAAAGCTGAGTGCCACCTAGTTCCATTTTATTTGAGAGAGGGCAGACATCTCTACAGCCGATTTCTCCAACACTCTGCAACTCACACCAAAACTACCTAGACTGATAAATAGCACTACAGGTAAGAGGAAAAATATGTGTTTTTAATTTTGGGGTGAACTGTCCCTTTAAGTATTGACTAACATGTAGGCTACACAGCTGTCTTTAAAAATTGAAGTCTACACAGCATTAGTTAAGGATTTATTAACCATTAATAAGCTTTATTAGAGAGTGAAAGGGCACTCCACCATGAAACAGCATTAAGTGATTCATTAACCATTAATGAAGCCATTAGTTAGGCTGCCACTTATAAACCAGGGTGTCTTTTGAGAAAGTTGTAGCGCGTTTAGCAAAAAAAAAAAAAAAAAAAAAAGAATGGCTTTTTCGTCATGAATGTTCTCAGCATCATCATCATCATCACGATCATCTCTTTCACAAGTGCTGCTGCTGCTGCTGCTGCTATTAATGAGCTATCTGAGTGCGATCTGAAACGCCCAGTGTTTGCATTTTAAATGTGTCACATGCCCAATGAATTTCCAGTCCATCTGCCGTCTCTCTCTGCCGTCAACACAGGGCGCAGTCAGTGCATGGAGAGGACTACAGGCTGCGGGGATTTGCAGTCAGATCAAAACTCAGACAACAGCACAGAGCGCGGAGGAAAAAATATATTTGTATCCGCTGTGCGAGGATATTATCTCCTTCCTTCTCATCAGCGCAGAGTGGATTTTTATTTAAACGCGCGTCAGAACAGAATTATCTGACTCCTTGAAAGTTTATTCAGACTGTTCCAATTTCTCAAACTTAAAACACCTCACACTGGGAGCTGATCGATGCGAGGAGCCAGCGAAGTGGTTTGCTCGCCAGTAGTGTGGTCAGAGCGGGCTGTGAGCGGCGGAGCGGTGCGCGCCTCGCTCGCTCTTTACGCGCAAAGGGAAAAGAGTGATCAGGCAACACCGGGAATCCATGACGAGAAATGGAAATTACAAATTGGAATTAAATGTTGAAATGACAATGTCTTGATCATCGACTGCATCTCCTGGACTGAGAAGCCGCTGGAAAACGCCTGATACAAGAGGTAAGAAGTCGCAGTGAGCCGCACGGTGACTCCTTTCATAATCTGATGTGGACGCGGCAACTTAACTATACGTTTTCAACTGTCTGACACATTGCTGTGTTGTCTATGCATATAATCTAGTGACTAGTCAGATGTTACAGCTGGGAATCTTTGAATGTAATACTTTCCACTAAGTGTTAATTGGACCAAACTGTGGTCTGATTCCGATGCTTCTCCACTATCTGTCGCCGCGTCTGCTCCGCCTTTATCACACTGCCCTATTTAGCTGAAATGGATCCGCGGCTTGCTCATCAAACGGAGTGGAATATCATCGCCCCTCTTGCAGGATCCCTGGTCGATCGTAATGTGCTGTAAGATAAAATATTCTCCAGTTAAAATACACTACGCCCCTGCGCTCCACCACAGCTCTCATCCAGCCCAACTTATTGTTGCCTGACAAATGAAATACAGCTGTATGTTCAGTCAACATCATCTGTCAATACTCATATAGCCTCTAAGAGTGTTTTCACATTTGCAGAGCACATACAGTAGCAGCATACAGTCCTAATGGGCTGGAAAGACACATGAAACTTCAGTGTGTCCCTGCAGTGATCAAATCAGCTGATTAAAGCCCAGCAAAGAGCCTGAGGTGAGACTGCAGCAGGCGAATCAGCCTGAGGACATCTTCTTGATCATATTTGCAGCTTGATTATTGAACACTGTGCACATTTGGAATTCAATTTCTTTTCTTGTTTTGGCCTTGAGGGCAAAGAATTTTGAATGTGTGTGGCCCTTATCGACACTTCACGGTTCACGACCTTGACTTTTCCCATGCTTCATGATGGGGTAACCATGTGGGTGGGGTGGTACTGTAGGAGCTGAATAATGCATGGCCTTGTTCATCCCTCTCAGCACTGAGGTAGCCACAGATGGGGGCTGGAAGTTGTTTACTGGGCTGCAGCTTTTTCATGCACAGGATTGGGATGTATAGGGAGTGTGGATTCAGGTGAAGCAGCACGCCAAGCGAGGGAACCTCCCGGCCCCAATCCCACTGTCTACTAAGAGACGACCTTTGCCTCGCGCAGATTAGAGCCACACTCTAATTGACTTACCTTTAACCCCTTCCAACACATATTTGGTGTCATGCTAGAGGCGGCTGAGCTGCAGGAGCCGGAGCAGCACCGTGTCCAGATTGTTGTGTGTGTGGAGAGGGGGAGAGGAGGAGGAGGAGGGGGGGCATTAATCTACCTCGTCGTCCATCACTGAGTTCCCAGGCTGGGCACCACAGTGAAACTGCTAATCCCTCAGTAAGCATAGCTTAAATCTGTCAGAGCTATGACTTGCTTTACCTCACTGTAGCACTAAATGTGAGCGGAAACACTTGACTGCAAAGCGTGAAATGTATCACGAGAGTTATTTAGTTTGAAATATTCCGGTGTAGCAGAAAGTGTCATGTCAGGATGAGAAGCGGGTTTCCTGTTGTCTAATATCCGTGCTACCATTCCAGCTGATCACTTGGGATCTGGTTAACACCGGTCTCAGTGCACACTTGATTATCTTTGTTGTAATTCGATTTTGATGACTGTGTTAGCAGCTCTCCTGAGAAGAAATGTGTTTGCTGCTAAATGTCCTGTGAGCTTGATGGTTGCCAGGTTGGTCTTTGTGCTCTCAAATAATACCTTCTCTAAGCAGCCCCTGGGCCTCTCAGCGGATCTGCTGGCTATAAATAATGGCACATATGTCACCATGCTCTTGGCTGACGTACACTAAGCCCCATCCTGAGCTCCATAGGGACAAGCACAGCGCTGTGTTTCAGTCTGGACACAGACTATAGCACACCTAACGCTCCATTGACATCCTCCTTTCTCAATTTGTCCCCTCATCTCTGCTCATCATCCCTCTCTCTGCTCATTCCCTGAATCAGCCTCCAGCTCCAGCTCCAGCTCCACCTCCACCTCCTCTCCCCGCGCAGCCTGTGTAGAGATGGAAGAGCAGCATTAGTAACAGCTTGTTTGTTTAACAGTATCGCATGTGCTGTGAGGAGTCCAATCACTGTGAGCAGCAGGAGACAGGAGCGGCACTCTGGGACACACTGAGACCAGTCGTTGAGTCATCATCTCATAGAAACAGCAGCAGCAGGGCTTTAAACAGCAGTACAGCACAGTCATATGCACACATGAATCATGGTTTGTATGGCTGACCCTGTGTTTACCATCGAGACGATTAACAGCTTGTTTGTTCCTGCAATAGAACAATATAATGGGCTGAGGGCCAATTCATGGTCTCTGCATGTGCACGGCCGCAAGGGTCTGTGTGACGTAAATTTTGTTACCTGCCCAAGTCGTCGTGCTGCACTCTGTGAACACGTACCAACTGCACATGACAAGAAAAAAAAAGTGAATGCTTGTTTCTTGTTAAGTGAATGCTAGGGCTTGTGTATCGTCAGTTAATATCAGTTCCAATATCAGTGACCTTACAGTGATACCAATACCAGTGGAGTTCTTCATTTGATACCTCTTGTTTTCTACTCCAGGCATGTAGTATAGTCATACTTTTAAATGTTTTGGTGACATCTCGGCATGCTGAATTGCCAGTTCTGTTAAGTACACAGCGCTCACCTTCCCCACACCACAGACTGTTACCGATACCAATATTGATATATCCACTTTATACCTCACCTAATTTTAGTGATCATCAAGTCTCTCCTATAGTGGAATTAACATCATATAATACATGCATACTCTTATTGTGATGGCCCACCCGCAAATGGAGACATGAAATACAACAGTTTTCAATGTATGTAATATTCATTCATTGTGCAAAATAAGAAAAAGCATGTTGGCTGATACCGAGGCCAATTCTGATATTTCATTTTACAGGCAATATCGGCAGATACCGATGAGGTTTTATTGTGCATCCCTAGTTGTATCTGCTGTGGTATTGGACCAGTTATGTTGCTGAAGAACTCTTGCAGTGATTGGTCACAAGAAAAAAAAAGAAAAAAAAAACATACAAATAGTCTTTTTTTTTCTAGATCTGATTTAGGCTTGGAGAGTATCAAGGTATACTAGGGTTTTTAGAAATCCTGAAGGTATGATTTTGAATACCATCAAGAGTACAGATGCTTCTTCTAATATCAAACTGATATGGAGATGCTGTTTTAGGGTGATGTAGTGCACAGCACACACCATCTGAGGTCAGTCTCTACTGATGGAACGGGCAGCTGAGCTGAGAAAGATGCAAGTGGTGGGGATAATGTTACAGGACAAGTAAAAGAAAAATGCCTCCTTCCCATGTTTACGAGTATTGCCACATGTAACTTTATCTTAAGATTACTTTTTCCAATTATGAAAGCAGTTTATTAGCCTAATGATTTTATCCAACACATCATTTCCATTGACCCAAGTACCACTGGGTCCTGTAAAAAGTGTGCTTATTTCCTATCTATGCACTATGTTATGGGTATTTAAACCCAGAAAGACTTGTCTAAGTAGGCTAGCAGTGTAGGTAAGACAAGAACATACATGGTACAATGAAAAACAAATACCATCAAACATAGATACCATCCATGTACAATCTGAGTACAAAAGCATCCAATGCAGGTATCGTTTGACTGGAGGAGTTTCAGTACTATTTGGTACTGGGTTATGGTTGGCTTGTGGTTGCAAACACCGTTTTTCCTGTTTTTTTGATTTTTTAGAAATATTATTAAAATGAAACCAACAATGAAACCAACAAATAAAGGAGCTCTTCTTGTAGCCAACAGGTTTTTGTAAAGTTTTGCATGTTCATTGTACAAAGTAAAATCAATATGCCAGACACTGATAGACTGAAGTTAAAGTTTTCTGGAGAGACATTTACAACCTTGGATTTGGGTTTAACACTCACGGCCATCTTTGGCAGTTACTGGAGTGAAAGACACCAACACTGTCTCCTTGAAATTGTTTTATAGTCTACTAATTTGCAAGATAAAAGAAATGGACTGCAGCCCGGGTCAAATTTCTTATCAACATGATAAAATCTTTTAATCTTCCAAGTATTTTCAATTTCACAAAATATTTATACCTCATATATTTATGAATGTTCATTGAAAAAATATTTTATTCCTTTTTTGCAATCTTCTGCTTCTGCCAGCTAAAGCATGATTTAATTTTAAACCCTTGGTTAAGGTTAGAGAAAGATGTTGGTCTAAATTTTTAAATAGTCAACACCAACAGAAACCTCAGGTCCCTGTGTCAAAATCTTGAGCATCGGATGAATGCGCCACTTCTTGGACTGGGAAAAAAAAAAAAAATACAAAGTATCCACCATGGTTAAGTGTGAGGTTGAATCAGTCAAACAAACACAAAATGTAAGACTTTAAACTGTGGAGTTATATTCTAAACAAACACACTGTGAAATTGACAGTTCATTTTTGAGCTGCTAGAACTTGTGATCATATCATGTGATCCTCCACCAGCATGGAGTTGCCCAACTGTCATGGCCACTCCATTCCTGTGAGTAATTTTTGTCCATGTCGCTTAAAAGTTGAGAGTGAAAATTAAATCCCAGCCAAGGAAACCATATAGGTAGGCATACCTGTCAACATTTAGGTTTCAACACTGTCAGTATACTGACAATCTAGGCAACCACACAATCGGACTGAAAAGTTACATTAGCTTGATAAAATGGAATGCCGTCCTGCCCTGCCATTTTGACAACAGCTAAGCTGACAGCTACGTTAAATTAGCTGGCCTGTCTGCCTGCAGAAATCAACTCTGCACATGTACCTTGAATTAGGTCTTGGGTTTCCAGGTTGTGGTGACAGATTGACAGGCAACCAGGCAGGTTGAAACTGCATGTAGTGTGTGAATGGTGTATACGTAGATTGTGTTTCATATGTGATCTGGCACCTAGGACGTCATCAGACAAACATAACACATTATACATAAAAAAAAAAAAAAAAAAAAAAAAAACTACGGTTTCCCAGGAGAAATAACAGAATGCAAAGGTACTTCGAGATGGCCTTGACATACAGAGGA